GAACTATTTATGCTAGCCAAGTTACTGCTAATGGGTCTTGCCCGTCTTGTTCATCTGTAGCTGGAAATCCTAGCAGCAGGGGAGGTCTGAAACGCCCTATGCTGCTGGTTTCCTGCAAGGGAGAAAAAGCTTCTTTTCCTGCCTCCCCATTATGCTGCTGCTGTCATCTTCCTCAAATTGCATTACAGCATAATACAGTGAGAGCAGGGAGAGGAGGAAAGTCTTCTAGGCAGCATCGCCGCTCTGCTGCAGGCAGCTGTCAACATCACTGCCTGTTTCACCCTGCTATCCCACTGTAATATGTTTAGCCAGCAACATTTTGTACTTGCCATGGGTGTGTGGGTAAGTGCTCCTTCTGCTACCAGCCTTTAGGTACCTTAAAGCAAAAATGATCTGCAAGGAGCATCAGGGAGAGGTTTGCCTCCCCTCCTCCATCAAATATAAAAATACATCACGTCTTTGGGATGGTATTTGGTAATAGAAGCGTAAATCTGTTCCTAACTTTGGTTTTGCAAAGGCTGCAAAAAGCCAACTGCTGTCTTCTTTTCTCCAATAAACAGCAATAACAGTGCCCACAGCTTGGTAAGAGCCTGTCAGTATTGACAAAGCAGTACAGGAACCTTGTGTGAGAAGTGCTTTGGACAAAATACATTACTTGAGGCCATTTTCCATCCTTATACTCCCCAAACGGAGATTCTAACTGCTACAAATCCTGATCACCTCATGCTACAGAGTAATACCACACAATGCCTCTACAGATCTTGTCCAAATGTTTATCTAAATAATGCAAACAGCAGCCTGGCCTCCTTACAGAGGTAAGCAAGACTGAGTGTGAGCAATACAGCACTTGTCCTCCTCAGAAGCCAACTGAAAACATTTCAGGTCACCTTGACACCTACATACGCTCCCAAGATTTATTTCAGCTCGTCAATTTTGCTTCTCATTATGAGTGACGATGACAGCCTCCAAAAGTCACCCTGTGAACAGACAGGCACCGTCGGCATCAGCAAAGGAGTCGGGCTCCCCCAAAGCCAGCAAGGAAGCCACGCTTTTAGATTTCCCCCAACCTGGGTCAGAAACACTATGAGAAGGCATCGTGACTTGAGGTAGCAGTTGCCCTGTGTTGAAATCTCTCCCCAAAGCCCAATGCTTTTTCCACTTAATCAGACACTGACAGTTCCCCTCATGAAAGTGGGGAGGGAACCACAGCAGTGCTGGTAATTAGGAGAAAGGTGTCATTCAGCAGAAACATGATTTCTAGTCCTCAGGAATTAAGCTTTCTCAAGGATTGTTATGAATTTAAAACCACTGCAAGCTCTAAAAGCACTGACCCAGAGGAAAAACATCACTCCTGAGATATTCCAAAATAAACCTCAAATTCTATAAAAGCGACATGAAGGCTGCTGAGAGTGAGATTATTCCAGCTCAGTAAAACATTCCTTATTATCTCACATCTCAGTGCTTTGGCAAGAATAACTTATTCAAGCCACCAGGACACTGCTAAGTGGTCTTTTTCCTTTCTTCCTGTTCTCCCTGCCTACCCCTTCCCTATTTCCCAAATTTCCCTGTCCCAGTAACCTGATTAAAACAAAACTCCACTTCTCGTCAGACTAACACCGATCAGCACATTATTTAGCTCCATTTCAAACACAGAAACTAACACATCAGTACACAGATAACTTTTATCTCCTGGGCTGCTACTGGAAGACAGCTAGTGTCCAGGGTCAGCTGCATGTTTCACATCTTCCACTCCTCACTGTATTAAAAAAAGGCACCTACCCCACAGGGAATAGATCCTACTGAGAGTAACTGAATTTACATGTAGCAGCTTGAAAAGCCCACCCATCAACCGAGGCAGGCAATTCATAACACTTATTTTAGTGCACACACAGACTTCAGAGACTATTAGCGCCTCTCCTTTAAGTAGTTAAGAAGATGTCTGTATTCAATAATTGAAATGGAGACTTAAAATATCTCCAGACCAAATCCACGTGCAAAAAAACCCCAAGCTTCTGACGAGAGGAATTAGTGGCGCAGTTCTGACTGTCCCAAAAAAAATGCAGCCAGTGGCAAACCCCGACGCCCATCACCGCGCCAAGCTGCCAGCGCTATGACACACTAAACCACTCACAATGACTTTAAAAAGAAAGAAATAAAAATAAGACACCCATTCCAAATTAATGAACGGAAGCTTCTTCCAGCAGGCACTAAAACACACCCAAAGGGCTCCACATCTCTTGCACTTGGGTTTGTGCGACAACTCAGACTTGCTAATCAGCTCCTGGCCCCCGAGATATGCTTCCTGCCCCTCTCCAGCTACGCTGAAGTCGCTGGAGTTACGCGCTCACTCCACCTATTTTTGCCACAGGACTTTTTAGCGATTTGTGTTCAATTTCAAAGCACAAGCCACGCTGCCAGCGATCGTAGCTCGCCGGCGGCAGTAACGCCCACTGCATTCTCAGGCAGACAAAGCATTGGTCTACCCAGGAATTTGGACTTCCAAGGCAGCTTCTGAAACACAAGCCCAGGAACAGGCTGCCAACACCCTGCTGGAAACCAGAATGTACCTTATCATCAGTAAAGCCTGCCCCAACTGCTCTTCCAGGAACTGTTATTTGTGCCCTGACTTATGCAGTTGCCCAAGAAGCATGCCTGCAGCCAGACTGACAGGAAAACATCCTAGGAAAGAATGAAGAAAAGACATGGAAGAAGTCTCGTTACCAAAACGCAGCACTACCAAGCAGGCTGAATGTCTTTACAGATCTTCTTCAGGAAGTGGGTCTGAGTCCTTTCCCAAGTCTTGGCACTTCAGGCACAAACTCCTGTCAAGATGATTGTTTATTAACATCTAGTCACACCATGCAGACACCCAGCACATGAAATCTATTAAAATGTTTACAGTATCAAAAGGCCTGATGCAAGGCAGTGGAATTTTTGTACAGCATTCATCCTAGAAATGAAAAGTTCATATTAAAGCTGTAAATCCCGCAGTTCTGTAATTAAAAGCCATCCCTGCACTTTCACCAATCCTAAAGAAAATGGGTTCCACCATACAGTTTGTGCTGCACCTGCACACTTCTATGGCCCGGTACCTCTACAGGGACATACCAGAACTTGCTCAAGATTGCAGAATGATGGGTTTCAAACATCCCCCCTCACCTTCCAAGCAGGTTGCTGAAGGGAAAAAGCTCTTAGGCCATCCCCTCTGGAAGCAGGAGGCAGCCACTTTATATCTGATCATGCAAAGTCTCATCTATCCACCTGATAGGGGACACCTGCCTTCTCCTCCATTACTACCACTGGAAACCTGCACTTGCTCCAAAGCATGTTGATTGAGACAGCAGAAATCGTAAGAAAGAGAAGTCAACCACCAGAGAAACCGAACAGATAGAGGAGTCTGCTCATAGGCCTTAGCACTAAGGCTGCCCATGCCTTTCAGCCACCAAGGCAATTAGCTACTGCTTTCAGGGCTGCTGCTCGAAATACAGCAAGATGAGTCTGCTGTTCTGTGTGGCAATCAGTAAACTGGAAAAGAAACACAAGAAGAGACTGTGAAAAGTACGCGGACAGCCGAGTTATAGTCCCTCAGCATTACACCTCGATAATGGAAGTAAAAGCGTACAGCAGCAACATTAGCTTTTCTTTCTTTAAAGCATCAGAAGTCTCAAACCGGCAACTGAACCAAAACACTTCATGAACGATAATGAACCTTGTTTGACAAGCAGTAAGGAAGCTGAATAGAAACATCGACAATTAAACTTATTCTTTTGACAACTATGTTTCTGGTATAAGTATTTTTCCATAAGACTCTAATAAGGTAAGGTTTTAGAAGACATTCAGAGGCACCACTTTAGGTCATAAAGCAAAGGTGAGATGAAAATAAAAACCTCCTGGGCCAGACCCACAGTCGCAGGCGGCCGTTATCTGCCCAACTGCCATGCAGGGGTTCCAGCGAGCACGGCTACAAAGCCAGCGGATCCGTGAGGCAAAGGCAACTTTTTAAGCCGACCTACATTTTGCCCATCCCAAACCAGCGCTCCGGAGCGCTGCCTGGGCGAGCTCACGCTCCTCTCTCCACACACACGCTGGAGTTAGCTACAGCTCTTCAGCCTCACAACACTTCGGTGAAACCCCAACGTTTCTCCATCTGTTGGGGGGAACGAGCGCAGCTCCAGGGGCAGAAATACCCATCAGGCGCCTCCATTACATAAAAGCTGTGTATGTGAGTGCTTCCAGCGCTTACTCTCTCCCACGAAGCCGAGATAGCACTCAAATCAACAGAGAGAGGGGGGAAGAGGAGGAGAAGGAGTATCTTTTACACAGATCCCTCCACTCTGAGGACAGCTGTGTTTTGGGTTCCTTGCCCGCAGCAGCTCCCACAGCAGATGCCTGAAATGTCAAGATGTCCCAACGGCACCAAGTGTTTCCACAACAAGACGGGGGGTCAGAAGAGATGAACAAGCTTACATCCGCCTTTTGCCACCAGCTATGGAGCTGACGCTATTTTTTCTTCCCGTGTACAAACACGCAACCCAGGGCACCTGAAACGAGCCGGTGAGGAGAGCAGCACCAGAAAATCGTAACGGGGTGCCCCCCACCACCACGACCACCCTCTTCACCTCCCTGTTGCGGGGGGGAACAGGGGATTTCAGCAAGATTCCCAGGGCCGGGAGGGAGGCGAGGGCCTTACCGGGGCCAGCCACTAACCCTGGGGGGAGAAGGGAGCGGAGCGGGGTGGGGGGGAACCCGGCCCTGAGGGGAAGGACGAAGAAGCGACCGACCCTGAGGGGAAAGCGAGGGAGGACGCGGCCCTGAGGGCGAAGGGGGCGGGCGAGGCCCAGAGGACGAGGCGGGGGGAGCCCCGGGGGGAACCCCAGAGCCCTCCCCCCCCCCCCGCCCCGCCACCGTCGCTTTCCCCCGCCGGGACGCGCGGACCGCACCAAAGCGGGAGCAGGGGGGTGCGTGGGGGTGCGTATGCCCCCCCTAAAACCATCACTCACCAGCCCCATCCGCCCCTCCGGCCCCGCTTCATTTAGCCGCCGCTGCCCGGCTCCTTCCGGCCTGCCCGCGCCACGTGACCGCGCCGCCCCGCACCATAGAGAGGAGCGGCGGGGAGCGGGGAGCGGCGAGGGAGAGACGGGCGGCCCGAGCGGTCCCGTCTCGACAAACCTACCATAGAGGCGGAGGGGGGGGGCGGTCCTTCAAGGCGGTCCAGCCCCGCCCCCCTTCCGGGCTCTCCGCGGTGTCGGGGGGCGGGGCCGGAGGGGAAGGGGCGGGGCGAAGAGCTGCACGTGTTTCCTAAGGGTGGGGGGTTCCCGCCGGGGGTGCTGGGCCATGGGGAGGTGTCACAGCCCTGGTGGGGTGCAGGTGCCCTATGGAGGGGAGGTGGGGGGGCAGGTCACCCAGCAAACCCTGGGGTGATCCCTTCCCCCTCCCCGAAGGGCTCTGCTGCCTTTGGAGGTGTCGTGATTTTGGGGGTGCAAAGCCGCTCTAGGTCGGAGCCGCGGGGCTCTCTGCGCCTGCGGACCAGGGCAAGTTTGTTTCCCCCAGCACCAGCGTTGCTAATTCAGCCCAAAAGCAGAGGGTGACACCAGGAGTGTTCTATTTCCCAGGTGCTGCTCGTACCGACCACGGCTGGTCTGTGGGCTTCTTGCCTTCCTGGGACTCCCGAGCTGCCCTCCTTCCCAGCACTGGAGCGTTGTCATCCCAGAAACGCTCCAAAAATCCAGCAACCCTCATCCCCACCCTGCCCAGCCATGGGATGGAGCAGCTCTGGGGAGAAGTCACCACTGTGAATTTTTGATTACACTGATTTCTCTTTTGATCCCCCCAGGAAGGTTGAGGGTTGGGCCACAGGTGGCTCCCACGAAGCCTCCCAGTGTGAGGTCAAACCAGCACCTGGGAGATGGGGGGGAAAAAGTAAAAATAGTAGTAATTAAACCCAAATCTCAATAGAAAATGATCCATGCGCAGCAACGAATGTTATGGAAGGAGCAGGGCAGGTGCCCAGGGGCGGCGGGAAGGGCTGGTGGGTGGCTGGAGCAAGCTGGCATCCCCACTGCGAGGGCAGAGGGACAAATCCCACCTCCACTGAAGCTGGTCCCCGCCGCTCTCTGCGTGAGGGGAAAGCACGTGGCTTCTCCAGGCATTGCCGGAGCAGAGAGAGCTGCTGCTGCTGCCCCATCCCGCTGCCAGGACGGCTCAGCCGGGGATTCCCTCCCGGAGAGCTCCCTGGCTCTTGGCAAGGGAGGATGGAACCCAGCGCGTGCGCCTTGGTGGCCTGCCACCCCAAAAATGCCACCACCCTGCCCAGCACCTCATCCGAAAGGTCACCTCCTTCCTTGGCTGCATCCTGGCTCCCATGTGGGAAACATCTACACGCTGGTGGTCACAGACGTGTACGTCATCACCTTGGCCCTGGCCGATCTCCTGTACTCACCCCACCATCCTCTTCATGTTCTGCACGTACTTGGTGCAGATTTTCTTTTACTGCATGTCTGTGCAACACAGCAACGTCCTGGCCCGATGTCAGGGGCTCTTCCTCTCTAGAGGGATATAAGCAATACAGAAAATGCTCTGGCCAAGGCTGGGAGGGTCCACAGGAGACGTGGGCACTGCACCATCCATCCAGCAAGCAGCTGTGAGATTGCAGAAGGGGGTTAGAAATTTAGGTTTGGTCTTGTTTTGAATTAGCAAAATCAGAAAGAGGCAGCAACCCCTTCTCCTGCCCTCCATTACCCACTACACCTGAAAGGATTTTATCTGTGATTATTTATTGGCAAAGCTTCAGTCTTACCTGAAGCCACATGTGAAGAAAGGCTGAAAATGGAAGAGGGAGGGTTTAGCTAGGCATCAAACTGTAAAGCACCAACAGAAAACATGAAGAGGTTTTCTTGTGAATTAAACCCCATTCTGCCTTGCCTTTTAAAAGCACATACTAGTGAGCAGGGGTTGTCTTTCCCCAAGCAGGCAGAGTGCCCAGGACACAAGAGCATCATCATAAATCAGAAAAGAAATTGCTACTATGAGATCAGTGCTCCTGCTCAGAGTCTGGTTTTGTACATCCTGCAGAAAGAAGCAGAGACTGGAACATTTAACTCGAGGAATTTAATTGACTTGCCAAGCTTTCATAAAAGAGACAGTCAATTTCTTGAGCTCTGTAAGATTTAAGAGAAATATTCATTTATCATATTTTCAAAAAGTCCACCTAGTGCAGAAGTCCTACAGCAACTGCTCTACAGCATACCACATCCACTGGAGCAGGCTGCAGGAATCCTCCTCTTCATCAGCTGTGTCCACACACCAAAAGGATACAAAAAAACAGGAATACTTCTCAAAAATTATTTATTAAAGAAAACACAATGCAGGATCAGTGTTTGACAGAGCACTGAAGGACTGACAGCATTTCTTGCTCCAAATAGTCAAGCAAAAATCGTTCAGTCCCCGCTGCTGGCTGAAATGAAGGGGCGAGCGAAACCAGCTCCCCAGCCATTTGCTCATTATATATTAGTGCATTTGATCATATTGTGAAGTTACTCAAAGAATAAAAAACACTATTTTTCTTCCCCCCCCATTTAAAAAAAAAAAAAAAAAACAAACCAAAACCAACAACCTAACCAAAATATGCACAGATTAAAGACATCCTAGCTTCCAGCTTTAGAGAGGGAAGGTTCTGCTGCAGCGCGCACCCCGATACTGAGCAGTGACTGATCACTGCCAGCACCGTCCTCAGACTTGCACCCAGGTTTCTCCACTTGCAATACATGACTGATTAGGAAAAAAACCAAACCAAAACAAACAGAAAAGCAGAGATTCCTCAGCATCAATGAATCTTTCTCCAACTCTCATTAAGGTGGGGATTACAATTTCTTTCCTGAAAACTGAGAGTTTGGAAAAATAACAGTACAAATAATAAGCTAAGAGAGAAAATCACAAAGGCTGGTAATTAATCAGTTGAAGAACGTGCTACCTGGACAGGAGGCATTTTATCTGGGCAGTCCATATAGATCTGTTAAATCAGTTGCATTTCCATGACCTCGGCCACTGAGCTGGCTGCCAGAACCATAACCCGACCGCAGAGGTGCTGGAACTCAGAACAGCGGGGGCCACTTCTGTGAGCAAACATCGACGCTCAATATTCACCAGACCTGTGCTAACAGCAGGGCAGCTTCATCGCACCGAGCTCTGGGTCTGGCAAACTGGAGGGGTTTTTTTAACCTTACTATTTTGTAGTGCTACATCATTTTCAACAAACAGCAATACTTTTTTTTTGTTGATGCCTTTAACACTCTGCCTTTGTCCACCACCCTCATCTCCAGCTAAGCACAGCACTACCAAACTCTTTGAGTATATCAATTTTCCTGTGACTTCCATAAATATTTTAACAAACAAAATGGTGGCTACCAAGAGTTTAAAGTTGTGAGTTTATTGCATATGTAACAAAAATGAACATGACCTCCTGGGTCCAGCCTACTATACAATCACTGTTTATTCCAGCTGGTTCCATAACCACATTAAATAGAACTAGTATTTCTTTAAATACTTTGATTTAGACATAAAATGAAACATTAGTGTACAACTTTCACAAAATAAATCTGCAATAAAAACAGTGGGAAGAATAACAAGGATAGCAGCAATACTTAAACATGACATTACAAAATAATAAATTAAAAAAATACATTATAAAGTGGTTGAGGAACAAAAAAAATCAACAAATTAAAAACAGATCCATACTGTGTTTCTGGGAACTTGCTGTGCCACACGGGCCTGAACCTGGACACTGGCTCCAGAGGGCCCGGTGGCTGGATCACTAATTTACAAAATCTGTTGGATTTCATAACCACCTCGACCTGAACTAAGTACATACCGCTGAGCAAACGCTGATTTCACCATCTGGAGCTTCGAGCAGCCTTTTTGAAGCAGGGTCTCATCTAACATAATGCCCAAGTTAACGCTAACATTCATAAAACAGTCTCGTTTCTTCCTGATTTAAAACACGAGCAAAGTGGTGGTTTCCTACATCCCTGAGCATATAGTATAGGCTGATGAGCAGTATCAGGGCAAGCACGGAAGGTCTGTGCCATGGACCAGCTTTTAGGTTTGCCTTTAGGACAGGAACAAAAGACACACTGTACCTTGTATTTCCTTCTGGTCAGATCCAAGAGTATCCGCATACAAGGTGGAACGTGTAATGACAAAATGAACACCAGACTTGATGTTATTCTTTGGGCAAGTTTGAGAAGTAACAACCAGTTCAAGTGCTGGCAGACCAAATGGGAATGGAACATACAAATTCAGACAGCTGAGGTTATCCAAACAGCTCCCGCGACCTCCGAGAGTCAATGGCTCAAAGCCATGCAAACTCTTGTTTGCATTTCATTCTCCCCTGGCCTTGAAACCAGCCACAGGAAGAACAAGCCATCACTTAAAACCCATTCTGCCTCACTTTATTTTCCTCCATCTACCCAACCAGCTTTAAGGCCTGCCTCAAAATGCATGTACAGAACAATACAAAAAATGTCATCATCATCACTGAAGTGGCACAAGATTGCAAAGACAACACGATGGGAGAGGTGGTGAAGCTGTTTAAAAGAGAACTGAAATAATTAAAAAGACAGTGCCCTATTCTCATTACTGTCAGCATGGAGGAGGTACCTTGACAAGGGCTTTTAAGTACAGCAAAAAACAGACAGACTTTTCAAAACAACAATCCTTGCCTATTCTTATTTTGTGCATTCAATAAAACACTGACCTAGCAAAGACATTAGGAACTATCGTATGTCAACTGTGTCATTGACATAAAGCTACTTGACCTACAGATCTCCAAATCAAGGGCCTTTACCTTCACCTCGCTTGGTTTTTACTGAGCCAGTTGTGCTGCATGTAGAGCTTACGTGGTAGGATTTTTGTTAGGGGTGGGTTTTAGTAACTTGTTTTGTTTTGTTTTTAAACTCTTTTAGCGAAAAATCCACATGAGACTGCATGCAAAGCTTTCGGGCAATAATCCATTCTGCAGTTTTCCTATCTGACTGGTTTATTGCACATTCAAACGTACTGAAAGGATTAAATACACTCTATGAACAGGTACGATTTCACAGCCATTTTGAAAAGCCA